TATACTGAGTCGGGGTGACCCCGGAGCTTGAACAAGATTGTGCCGATGCTAATAAAGTTATTCTTAAAGAGTATGGAACACCACAGGACAGTCCTGCAGAGTACTTACGGGAAGAGAAAGTGGAGAATGTCATGCATTGTCAGAAATTGTCAGACATGTTGATGCTGTAAGATCCTTCAGTAAAAAAAAGTTACTGGTTAAGTGAATCATCTGGTCTGAATTACTTTAGGATTAATAACCTTCTGAGTAATGGAGAGTGAAAAGTAAAAGGAAGGAGGAGCATCCAGCTTGGGGAGAAGGTGGAGGTGGCCAGTAACAGAGGCTCTGCCAGAGGAGTGAATTGGTAGCTTAGTGGTTTACCCTTCTAAGTGGCAGAGTCCCTATATTAGGGCTCATTGTGTAACAAAGCCCTCCTAGGGACTTGGTCTGGACCATGGTGTGTGAAGCCTTGTGAAGTATACAGCAACTTCCAAGGGGCCAGAAGGTTGGTACTCAAGTTGGAAGAATGGTGCACAAAGTCCAAAGAAAGTTGAACAGTTATTATTTTGTTAAGTTGCAAGGAAAACAAATAATGAACATCAATCATCAATCTCTAGCACTAGTAATGTGGCTGTAGCAATTGCGGGAAAACATAGTAACAATACAGGTGCATTAATGCTGATAGTGGAAGTCACAGTAAGACTAGTGGCACATCGGTAGATCCATAGCATCTTTCCCTGTGTGTGCTTGTCACTTCCCATTTGGAGGTGATATATGCAGGGGCGTATTTACCGTGAGGCCAACAAGGCCTTTTCCCTGGGCGGCATTTTTCAGGGGGAGCGGCGCCGCCTCCAGGCAAAATGGACACATGTGGCCGATCTCTCTCTATCATCACAGGCTCCAATTTAGGTGGGGGGTGCAAAATTTTACTCCTGCCTCGGGCAGCACGAAACCAAAATACACCACTGGATATATGTGGGTGGATGCAAGACCTTTTAGCTGTGGGAAGTTAAGGGGGACCATACATGTGAGATGTAATTGTGTACCAAATCAGTGAGACCCCAGAACAGGACCCTAGTATGGGACTATGGACTAATATAACTACTTTGTGAGTTATTCTAAAAAGCAGTGGTGGCTGGTGCTAAATATAGATTTTTCTCATTATCCTGTAAACTTATATTGGTGAGAAATGTCCAAAATAAAAAGTCCTTCCAGTTCTTGTGCAAAAACGCAAAATAGATTTAATAATATAATTGCATAAAATTACAAGTAAAATATTAGAATACAAAATGTAATATTATGTCAAAAAAGGTAATTATATTCTTGAGAGATATAAATTGTGTATGGTATTCGCGTGTGTGTAGCTGTGGTCCGCTGTCTGTCCATCTAGCCATCTCATGGAAGTCTGCCAAAAAGCCCTTTTGTTCAGCTGATTCAAGCAACTTCAAGACTCTCAATGCCCCCTTCCTCACAGAGTCTGGGTCCAGTAGTTCTACCCACATATGGAAGGCCAGAAACATGAGACCCTCACAGAGAAGGGACCTCTGCTTACAACATTTGGTTACGCTGACAAATTCCAATGTGGGAGATGGGCAGTGTAACATATATACACTTAAGTCATTATTATACATATTATATATATGTGAGGAAAATAATTACCGTATTTTTCGCTCCATAAGACGCACTTTTTTCCCCCCAAAAAAGGGGGGAAAATGTCAGTGCGTCTTATGGAGCGAATATAAAGCGGCCGGTCCGGTATTTCTGCCGCCACCATGTCAGAATACCAAGCCGGCTGCTCAGCTGTTCTCTCCTGCAGGGCCTTACCTGTTCCTTGCTCCAGCGCTGCACAGTCTTCCCGCACTGGCTTCTGTGACAGCCGGGTGCCCATTGCGCATGTGCTGCGCTTTGTGAATGATCCGGTGTCTTCTGGGACACATGACAGGTCCCAGAAGGCGCCGGGCCATTCACAAAGCGCAGTGCTTCTCGTGCATGCGCAGTGGGCACCCGGCTGTCACAGAAGCCGGCCCGGGAAGAAGAGCGGACAACTCCGTGGAAGTGGGAACGGGTACCTGTCAAATTCAGGTACCCGCTCCCCCTCCCTCCCCAAAGGTCAGCAGTCTCTGGTCATTCCCTGCACTGTCTGCAGTCTCTGGTCATTCCCTGCACTGTCTGCAGTCTCTGGTCATTCCCTGCACTGTCTGCAGTCTCTGGTCATTCCCTGCACTGTGTCCGCAGTCTCTGGTCATCTCCTGCACTGTGTCCGCAGTCTCTGGTCATCTCCTGCACTGTGTCCGCAGTCTCTGGTCATCTCCTGCACTGTGTCCGCAGTCTCTGGTCACCTCCTGCACTGTGTCCGCAGTCTCTGGTCATCTCCTGCACTGTGTCCGCAGTCTCTGGTCATCTCCTGCACTGTGTCCGCAGTCTCTGGTCATCTCCTGTATTGTGTCCGCAGTCTCTGGTCATCTCCTGTATTGTGTCCGCAGTCTCTGGTCATCTCCTGTATTCTGTCCGCAGTCTTTGGTCATCCCCTGTACTATGTCTGCAGTCCATTGGTTCAGAATATTTTTTTTTCTTGTTTTTCGCCTCTAAAACCTAGGTGCGTCTTATGGTCAGGGGCGTCTTATGGAGCGAAAAATACGGTACTTGATCCCATGCAGATTTTGTAAGTTTGCCCACTTACAAAGAAATGAAGGGTCTATAACTTTTTTTATCATAGGTGTGTAGCACACCCGTGGGTGTTAGCAATATATTGGTATATGATGTGGGTTTCACAGCTCTTACCTGGACTGACGACACAGCAGAATCCAATAAAATACACACTGGCTTTAAGAGATAAAATTTCCCTGGGGGATTTATTCCATCTAGAAACAGGGTGCAAATATCACCTATGACTCTAAGCGTAGTGAATCGTAGTAACCGTATTGGATAATCATGTATATTAACTTATGGACATAAGATGTCCTATACCTAACACATATATTAACAAGTATAAACGTTACTGCATAAAATAGTTACCAACACTTAACTATAATGAGTGCCAAACACTCCCCTTGTCTCCTGTATCTGACCAGAACAAAAGTTCCAAAATGCAGTCTCTAGATGGGGCCCGTTGGAGCTCTTTTTAACATAGGTGAACTGTTAAACAGAATGTGGCTGATTTCATCAGCAAATCCTAAAAAAATGTCTTTGAAAAATATAGTAGCAATCCTGGGTAAATGGCTTGTTCTCACTTCAGCACATATCTCTCATTTAGGGATTATTCTGTAATTTCACTGTCTCCGATATATGTATTCAGACTTTGCAGACAACCGAGGGAGATGACACACACTTTGCTAGTCTCTGGTGCTGGCAAAATCAGTACAGCGACTTGGTGGGAATTCCACTGGGTATCTCTCTCTGTGTCAGTGAGTCTCTAAAATGGCGACTCAGCAGAGTAACACCGACCTCATGGGGGGAGTTGCAAACAGCAGTACTCACGTCCTATATGATCTTTCACTCAGTTCAACTGTTCAGCCTCCTCTCAGTCCTCTAAGGTCCTGCAGTGCTGTCTCTGGTGTCCAACAATGACCACGGGTTCCTCTTTCCGCCAGCCCCTCTGCACTGACTTTCACCTCCACTCACCAAATCGTCTCCCTCCTTCCCTTTATTCCTGTCTCCTCCCCCCTAGACTTCCTGTGCCAAGCCGATCATAGAGCTGGATCTGGAACTGTTGCTAGTGGCATCTTGTTGCCGAATAAGATATTACATCAATTCACATACGGTACTATAATGTCTGCAGTTCTATTATTGGTAATTGTTATTATTATTATTATTATCTATTATTACTAGATTATTGGTTGAGGTTACAGGTGTATTTTAAATTTTAATTTCTTGCACTTGGTTAACAGGTTTGCACACATCTCAGGAGGGATTTTGGTTCACTCTTCTTTACAGATCTTCTCTAATTCCTTTCTTGGCTGTTACTTGGCAAACTGAAGTTTCTGCTCCCTCCATAAATTTTTATAGAGTTAAGGTCTGGAGGCTGCCTATGCCACTCATGACCTTAATGTGTTTCTTCTTGAGCCACTTTCTTGTTGCCTTGGTGGTATGTTTTGGGTCAATGTCATTGTGGAAGACCCATCCATGGCCCATCTTCAGTGTTCTGGCTGAGAGAAGAAGGTTCTCATCCAAGATTTTACAATACATGGCCCAGTCTATTGCCCCTAAATGCAGCAAAGTTGGCCTCTACTTTTAGCAGAGAAACAGTCCCCAAATATTTTCATGCTTGACTGTGGGAATGATAATCGTAGGGTCATATTCAGCATTTTTCTTCTTCCAAACTCGGTGAGTCGAGTTAATGCCAAAGAGCTAAATTTTGGTCTCATCACACAGCACTTTCTCCCAATCCTTCTCTGAATCATTTAGATGTTCATTGGCAAACTTCAGATGGGCCAGTGCAGGGACCTTGTGCCTTCTTGAGGACAGGGACTTGTGGATGCTTCAGGATTTCAATTTATGGCAGCGTTTTTGTACACATAACCTTGTGTTACCAGTGGTTTGGTTTGGTGACTGTGGTCCCAACTGCCTTGAGATCCTCCACAAACTCCTCCCGTGTAGTTCTGGGCTGATCCCTCACTTTTCTCATGCCCATGATGGTGAGGAAGAATGAGATTCTATAGACAGGTGTCTTTTGTACACATAACGAGTTGTCATTAGGAGCATCTTCTTAAATTGACAGGGCTAATCTGTGTACCACATGAGCACAGAACCAGTCTGTGGGAGCCAGAATTATTGTTGATTCATAGGGGATCAAATACTTATTTTACTCACTGAACTGCAACTCAATTTATAACATTTGTATGTGTTTTTTTTTTTCTGGATTTTTGGCTGATAGTCTGTCTCATCAAAAATACACCTATAATAAAAACTATAAACCCTTCATTTCTTTGTAAGTGGGAAAACTTACAAAATCTTCAGGGGATCAAATAATTATTTTCCCCACTGCATATACACTACAGGTGTATAAAATCAAAGACCTTGGCATGCAGACTGTGTATACAAACATTTGTGAAAGAATGGGTCGCTCTCAGGGGCCCAGTGAATTCAAGCGTGGTACCGTCATAGGTTGCCACCTGTGCAATAAGTCCATCCGTGAAATTTCCTTGCTGATAAATATTCCACGGTCAACTGTTAGTGGTATTATAGCAAAGTGGAAGCAACTGGGAACAACAGCAAGTCAGCCACAAAGTGGTAGGCCATATAAAATGACAGAGCGGGGTCAGCCCATGCTGAAGCGCACACAGCGCACAGAAGTCACCACCTGTTTGCAGAATCCATAGCTAAAGACCTCCAAACTTCATGTGGCCTTCAGATTAGCACAACAACAGTGCGTAGAGAGCTTAATAGAATGGGTATCCTGCATCCAAGCCTTATGTCACTAAGTGCAATGCAAAGCGTCTGATGCAGTGGTGCAAAGTATGCTACCACTTGAATCTAGAGCAGTGGAGACGTATTCTCTGGAGTACTAAATCACACTTCTCTGTCTAGCAATCCAATTGACATTTCTGGGTTTGGTGGTTGCCAGGAGAACGGTACTTACCTGACTGCATTGTGCTAATTGTAAAGTTTGGTGGAGGTGAGATTATGGTGTGGGGCTGTTTCTCAGGGGTTGGGGTTGAGCTTGACCCCCTAGTTCCAGTGAAGGGAACTCTTAAGGTGTCAGCATACCAAGACATTTTGGACAATTTCATGCTCCCAATTTTGTGGGAACAGTTTGGGGATGGCCCCTTTCTGTTCCAACATGACTGCACACCAGTGCACAAAGCAAGATCCATAAAGATATGGATGACCAAGTTTAGGGTGGAGGGACTTGACTAGCCTGCACAGAGTCCTGACCTCAACCTGATAGAACACCTTTGGGATGAATTAGAGCGGAGACTGTGAGCCAGGCCTTCTCATCCGACATCAGTGCCTGACCTCATAAATGCGCTTCTGGAAGAATGGTCAAACATTCCCATAGACACACTCCTAAACCTTGTGGACAGCCTTCCCAGAAGAGTTGAAGCTATAATACCTGCAAAGGGTGGGCCAACTCAATGTTGAACCCTATGGACTAAGATTGGGATGCTATTAAAGTTCATGTGTGTATAAAGACAGGCGTCTCAATACTTATTGTATATAATATAGTGTATATATATATATATATATATATATATATATATATATACATATATATATATATATAGTGACAGTGTGGTGATCTGTCACGAGGTGGAAGAGTTATTTCACCCAGGATTCTCAACCAGGCAGGTTGAGGGGCTCCAGAGGGTTGATGTATTGTAGAGGAAACTGGCTTTTCGGTTTCCTCATTTATTCATTAAGTCCGTTTTGGGATCTGGAGCCTGGAGATTTCAAAGAGATCTGGGAGGGATGAAATCTCCAATCCTGGGACCAGGTTTTGGGAATGGCCAGGACACTGATTGCACAGGTGTGTGCAGGCCTTTTCATAGAGGCCTAACCATGGTTCTGAGCTCCACTCCGGCAGACAGGAGTCAGGAGGGCTCCACTCCGGAAGACAGGAGTCAGGAGGGCTCCACAAAGGAGAGGTGGAAGCCAGACTAGCTGTGTGCTAGTGGCCAGCTGTGTGCGAGAGCCATAATTTGGGAAGAGTCTGCAGGAGACAGACATCAAACTGAGTACAAGCCAGGAGGCTGAATATTTGTTGTTTTGCTTGATGGTGGATACCCCTGCGTAGGAAGCTTTATGTTACGGGACGTTCTTTTAAATAAAATTGGGCAAAAAGGCCCCTAAAAAGAAGCGAGTTGCTGTGTGCTTTTGAAAGGAAAAGTTCTACCACTATATATATTGGGCACTGCACAGGGAAACTTTAGCCTCCTACCAACAGAGATGGGGGAAGTAAAGCTATCCAGTTCATGACTAATTACTACACCATGTTGCTAAGGTTTACAGAAAAATGAAGCCCATATATTTAAATACTGTACATATAAACAGTATATTTACATAGACTATAAAAGTCTGTTTATTTTACTTTTACCAATCTGGAACAAATAGAAATATAGCAACTCAATTATTCTATTAGGATCCAACACATTCCTACATATGTTAGCAATGTTAATAAGCAAATATTAGATTTTAGATTAAGGAATACTTCTAACAGCCAGTGACGGAGGTTCTGTCAGAGGGGTGAACTGGTTGCTGTAAGGTTTGCCCTTCTAAGCATCAGGGTTCCTATATTAGGGGCTTCTATTTAACAAACCCCTCCTAGGGACTGGGCTTAGACAGAGGTGTGCGAGGCCTCATAAAGTATACAGCAACTTCCCTCCCATGAGTAAAAGAGTTGGTGGAGAGAATGCACGGTTAATGTGGTATCCCTCAAAATGTATCTGTAATTACTGCTGGGACAGGAGCCACTGGCAGTTGAGAGGACGTTATCTCTCTAGTGTGTGCCGTTTTAGTGCGTGGGCAATGTGAACAGCCCTAAAGCAGATTCTTGCTTAACTTAATAAGTTAATAAATCTGAAGTCAGGGATAAGCAAATATTATCTGTATACAAGAGGTATGTGTACTGTTATTGAGGTGACTTGGTAAGTCATTAAAGCTGAAGTCTGGGATAAGCAAATATTTTCTAAATAGAAGAATTATGTGTACTGTTGTTGATGTGACTTGATAAATTATTAAACTTGCCTACCAGGCACTTATACCCCCTTCCTTACCAGGCCAATTTCAGCTTTCAGTGCTGCCGCACTTTGATTGACAATGCGCGGTCATGCAACATTGTACCCATATATTTTTGATCATTTTTTTCTCACAAATAGAGCTTTCTGGTGGTATTTAATGGGCACTTTACATTTTGCGCTATAAGTTAAAAAAAGTGCAAAAAATTTGAAAAAAAAAAAAGTTTTGCTTTCTTTTAATAAAATTTTTCAAAAGGTATTTTTTCCTTTGTTCACTGATTTTGTTGATGAGGCGGCTGATGGGCACTGATAGGCGGCACTTTGGGCACTGATAATAAAGGGCACTGACACTGAGGTGGCAGGATAGGCGGCTCTGATATGCAGCACTGATAGGCGTACTGATAGGTGAAACTGATGATCTTCTGGGCACTGACTGGCGGCACTGACTGGCACACCCCCACTGACTGGTGGCACTGACTGGCAGCACTGCTGGGCTGCACTGGTGGGTGGCACTGTGGGCAGCACTGGTGGGTGGGCACAGGTGGGTGGCTACTGGATGGGCACAGGTGGGTGGGCACAGGTGGGTGGCACTGCTGGGCACATGTAGGTGGCACTTCTGGGCACAGGTATTTGCACTGCAGAGTGGCACAGGTGGGTGCACTGCTGGGCACAGGTGGGGGCACTGCTGGGAACGGGTGGGCGGGGCAAGACAGCTGGGCGGAACTTGCGGGTGTCACTGCTGGGCACCGAATCAGGGCACTCATCAGCCCTGATGATCGGTGCCGATCCCCGCTCTGACAACTGCCGGTTCTCGGCAGACTTTCCTCACGATTGACAGCGTGAGGAAAGTGCAGCCGAGAACGGCACTTGCCCTGTGATCACGTGTCAATTGGACACCGCTGATCAACATGGTAAAAGGCCGGTGGGATCGGCCTTTCACCACATCACGTGATCAGCTGTGTAGGACACAGCGATACGGAGATCGCGGTGTGTGCGCGCCCCCTGGGGCGCGCAGGAGAGAGCGTGTTCTGGGAGGACGTCCTTATGACGTCCACTCAGAAAATGGCCGGCCGCGGTGAAGCCGTCATTCGGCTATGCGCGGTCGGCAAGAGGTTAAAGCTGAAGTCACAGGGATAAGCAAATGTCTAAATACATGCGATATGTGTATGTTATTTCCAGTCTTGTCTTGCTTTCTGTAATTTTTCAAGAAAACCAATGTGACATTTTGCTTTATGTAGGAACTTTCTGCAACAGACTGGTCACTGCTGCTCTAATGTACAGGGAAACTGGTTTTGACTCCACCCCCCTCCTGTAGTTTTCTGTGGCAGTGGGCCTCCTATACTATCTGCACAGACTAAATGCAAGCACATTGATGATATCACTGACTTTTCCAAGACAGTGGGCTCCATCAGCATCTAGCATGCACTATGTACATGGACACATTTTGCCTAAATAAATGCAATCCCTAAGTTGTCAATTTACAATACCGTTTTGTGATATTTAACGCAAAATGCTGAAAATTCTCGGTAAATACCGCATGAACAAGCGTTAAACTCAATTCACAGAAGAAAAAATAAATTTAAATGCATGCGGTGATTAAGTAGTGGTCCAGGCATGTGGTATTATGCGTCTTTAACAACCAGCAAATAACATGGTTGTTAAGGAGCGGGCAGCTGCTGCATCCTTAAAAATCTCGCCAACAGCTGATGACTCATCCGTTGTTAACTACTTCCCGCCCAACCTATAGTAAAATGATGGCTGGGTGAGCCTCTTGTCCCTCTGATAGAACATCATATGACGTCCTTCCCAGATTGCGCTTTGCGCATGCCTGCAGGGCTGCACTGTGGCAAGATCTGTCACTGGCTGTGTACCTAGGACATGGCTGATGACAGATCTGTGTACCGGCCCCGTTGCCAGTACCATGTGACCTGCTGTGACCATTCACAGAAGGTCACATGACAGTTGTATACAATGGATGGCTTTCCTTTCATGCCATCCATTGTATACCAGTGTGTCTAGCTGTGAATGATCACAGTGATCACATACACAGGCTGGGCCAATCACAGGCCATCTGTGTCATGTGATTAGCCGTGGCCAATCACAGATAATCACAACAAAAAAAAACCTGAATGAATCAATTTCATTCAGTTAAATACTTGCTTATAGCAAAGAAATTCTTTGCTATAAGCAATGAAATTGTGTAAAAAAAAAAAAAAAAAATATCACTTCCCCAAAGTCGTACAATGTTACTATAATAACATTATGCTACTTTGGGCATAATGTCATATGAAACAAAATCTTAAAAAAAGAAAAAAGTAATAAAAAACAAAATAATTATTAAAAAAAAAAAAAATTGAAAAAAACATTTTTTTTTTTTCGTACTATCATTAGTCAGTGTCCCTGATCACCGCCACACCAGTTATATGATGATATAAAAAGGGGGTATGTAGCGCTACAAAATTACAAATAAAATGTCATCATATATCCTCACAGAAGTACATATTGTCCATAAAGTGTATCCGGAGGGCAGACGGATAAGATCCTATGGTGTCCCCAATCCAATCTGCAGAACGAAAAGTGTATATAGTGCGGTTATGCGCTTACCACAATTACATACAATATGGGCATTGTATGTAAATCAGCAACAGGACATCACGGTCTGGTCAGCAGCATGAGCAGCATCTGGTCATGTAAGGACATTAAGGCCATGGACAATATGTACT